AATTCCCAAATTAGGGTTTCATGGCATTAGGGTTTTCCAAACCCTAATTAAGGTTTCCAACCCATCTTAGCCCAATAGGCCCAAAAGCTAAGTCCTTAGATCCATTAGGGTTTCATTAGGCCCATTAGGGCTTCATTGTTCCCATTAGGGTTTCAAGCATCCCAACCGAATCAAACACGACAAGGCAAAGCACACCACCACCCGACACGACGGCAGGAGGCGGCAGCCACCACCTCACGGTGGTGGTTAGGGTTTCTTTCCATTATTCCATTTTTTGTTACAATGTACAATGCCAATCTCCAAAATAAACACACACACTAATGTTAAATACACATACACACACAGCCACCATGTGGTGGCCGGCGGTGGCGCACGGCGGCAGCCACCACCTCACGGTGGTGGCGATGACTTTTTTTTTTCAGATTTCCGACCAATCAAATCACACACAACACACTCTTGCTCGGGAATGCACACTACCACCCACTTCACGGTGGCACATGGAGGTCCGACAACAACAACAACAGCAACATGGCGGCGGTTATGGCGTTTGGCAGCCACCCATGACGGTTCGCGACTCCTCACTTGAAAACGCACACGCCGATGAGTCTCTGCTCGACAAGAAACGAACCCAACACCCACTTTCATGCGTGAAACCTACAGCCAACCCTAGGCTGCCACATGCCGGAGGACTTGACAGAGCAAACCAGCCGCAAGGCGGCGCCGAAAACGGCAGTGCTAGCGGCAACAACAACGTCTGCGGAGGAATAAATAGGAGAAGAAGAAGAAAAGAGAGGAGTACGGTGGAGAGGTTGCAGCGACTCTCATTGTTTCTCCGACAGTAGATGCGGCGTTTGCATGGCAAAGCAGCGACGACCATCGGCTGTGAACAACACCGATGGATGGTTTGTCCGGAAGTAGGGTTCGCTGGTCATCTTGGGTCTTTGGTGGCTTGGTCAGTCGGAGAGGCAATGGTGGAGAGGTGGCGCCGGTGAGGGAGGCATAAGGATGGGGAGGTGGCGGTTGTATATGGTTTCATTAGGGTTAGGGTATAGACGAGTTTTATATCTCGTAACCTTTGAAACTTCACCCCATAATGGCAAGTCTAGTCCCTCTCTTCCCTTTTTCTTTCAAACCAAGACCATATTTTACCCTTTCTACCCTGACCTCGAAAATCCCTTTCAAATTCGACCCATAAATTACCAAACAACCCCCAATATCTTACTGATGACATATTCAGCTCTCCCACCTATTTTCCTTTTTAAATTAAATCCAAATAATTACCACGGAGCCCCTGTCTTCATAAATATTTATAAACTGAGTCCGGTACTTACACTTTTAACCCCCGACTTCTAAAATTGTGACAATTAGCTCTTTGAGACCATCCTTTTATATATAACCATTTATTTTAGGGCTACTATTCGTTCATTAATTTATTTATTTATCTAATAAATAAACGGGATGTTACAACTCTCCCCCACTTAAATTAGATTTCGTCCTCGAAATCATTCCTTACCATTTCTTATGCGCCAAACCACTCAAGTAACATGGTCACCATCCTGGGCACACCCTCGCCTTCCCAGGGTAGTTGTGACCAATCTTCGCAAAGCCCTAACATCCGTAGGTGAACGAATTCCTCGCAACAAGATCACATCTACTTCGTCTGAATCTGTTGTCTTGAGATGGTCTGAATCCCTGGCAGACCACTCATACTGAATCATTATCGTTGAATCTAGTCCGTTTATCCCTCAACTTACCGCTCAACTCTTGATAACTCGAGGTTCCCACTATAAAACAGGATCACAAACCCAATTATCCCTGCAGATCACTTATACTTGGCCAAGACTCAGATAATCCCGCTGTTAGTGACTTAGCACAACCCAAGCAATATGTTTCTCTGTCCGTACTTGCAACCCCAAACACAAATATGTTGTGTACAAGTTTTTAGACATGCACGATTTTACTAGACTTCAAAATATACATTAGTTTAATGGGGGTGAAGTGTGTGACACTCTTATTCTCTCATCTTTCTTTTTTTCGGCCTAAACCATATAAAATGGATGGTGTGTTGCTTGTGTGACTTATTCTTATATGCATCATGCTTCTAAGTCCCATCCCTTTTAATTTAATAAAATCATGGGTCTTAGATATCAAATGTGTGTATATAAGAGAGAATAGGGCTTTCATTTAGAAGGTAGTCTTTTGATCTCCTCTCTTATTTCTTACAAAAGCTACGAGCACTCTCCTCTCTCCATCTCTTTCTCTCTTTTGAAGGCAAGTAAAAGTATTGGATGCTTATGAAGTGCTTATCCTTTAAGGCTTATTTTGGATAAGTTCTTAAACGTTAGAGAAGTATTTTACTAGAGATAAGTAATTAACATTCTTGGTGAGTTTATCTTGTTGGTGGATACATCATAGAAGCTCTACTTTGGGCTTTGGTCATCTTCATCGACCCCCCAATTTCCAAGTGGGATCAAAGTCTTCAAAGGTTGTCATCTAAACATCCTATGGTTGTTTATAATCTTTCTATATCATGTAAATGGATTCTTGGTGTTTTTGTTTTAAAATAGTCTTAAAATAATAGTTATTTTCAAATCGCTTTTGTTTTCCGTTGATAAGAGTTTTATTGAAAAGATTGTTTTTAGCTTGTCAAAACCCATCATCCGATACATTCTTCCTTTGAATATATCTTCAACAAGGATTAGGTCATGAATTCCTTTGAAAGTGAGCTTCATGATCCCGGATGAACTACCCATATCGTAACAGTTTTGGACGAATTCTCAGGAAGTGAATATAATAACATTAGTGCTTGTACTTCGTCTTTAAACCCAATGCCAACAGATATAAATCTTGATGTTATTGAGTTGAACTCGTTTACGTGGTCTGTCATTGAGCCATCTTCCTTCATCTTTGTATTCAACAACTGTGTGATAAGAAAACCTTGTTTGCTACTGAAGGTTTCTCATACATGTTAGATAACGCCTTTATTAGTCCATATGCTTATTGGGGAGGCAGTAGACCAATAAGCTAGTTGTCCCAACCAAGACATGAGTTAGCCTTTTATCTTAAAGGTTATCGATTTCCCTCGTTGATAATTTATAAGAAATGTTCTTTGCCAACGACAACCTGACCATACTAAGGGATTGTCGATCTAAAATATCTCAATCCTTCTTCTTCATGCCTTGTGGTTTTCTTTCACTCAAGGGAAGATGTACTTTTTTCTTAGTAGAGATAATATTCAATCCGCATCCTCTAAAATCCAAAATCATGGTCTTCAAATTTATTGATCTTGATCTTCCCTTCTTCAGCCATAACTATGATACTAATTGTTGGGTATTAAGATCCAATCTCGGTAAACAAAATAACAATGATATAGAAGATTATGCTAAGAAGATTAAACAAGAACACAATGAAATTTAACATGGTTCACTTGATCTGTTTGATAAAGCTACGTCTGCAGACAAACTAAAGAGATTCTTTATTTATATTAAATGTTATACAAGATCTATGTATTTACTGCACACAATATCGACACACATTAATGTCACTTGTGTATCATCTATCACCGTAGGGGGTGGTGCTCACATGCAGGTGACATTGCCACATCAGCCCCACGCCCTTTGCGTGCATGGTATATCCGATGACGTTATATAGTTTCATGTCTATATCAAATCATACTTGGTTGTCAAATTTATTGTTTAATTAGAGAACAACTTAAACAAACAAATAATAATAATATAAAATTCTAATATGTTGGTTAATATATTTGGTTAATTGAGAAATCGTATTTAATAAACCGAAACATAATAATCTAAAACAATTAAAATAAATATTATTTGGTTTGGTTACAATTAATTTTATTAAGCCGTTAAAAAGATGTTTAAACCGACTTAATAACAATTTTATTAAAGAATAATTACAATTTTATTAAAAAATAATATTACTATACGTACCATCATAGTCACATAAATTATGGGGTATAAACAATATTCTACTCACAAAATTATACACCGAAACAAAACAATTTGGGGGTACTTAAGCTTGGGGGAGTGGGTACGGTAGATGGTACACTCTCTTGTCACATCAGCTTGGAATACTGCACCCTCCCTGCGGTTTTGGTGCGGTAGAGACTGCACTGTGGCACTCTAAGGGAGTGCTTCTCTCTTCCTGTTGCCATTCCAATTGACCGTTGAATGGTTAGATTTTTTTTAAAAAAATGTTATTATTATTATTATTATTAATTTTATTTTTTTTAAAACCTTTTAAATTGAGTGACACCGCTCTTTAGGTGTGACATGAAACCACATTTTTGTTGTAATTGCTGACATGTCACTTACATGACACTGCGGTTTCATAAGGGAGTGTAACACTACTCCCTCCAGCCTGATAATGTCTCTTGCTCTATTCATAACCTTGTACTTATGTGAAGTTTATCCTCGCTGTGCACATGGTTTGTAAAATATTATATGGTAGAAGCTTTTTCCTAAACTAATAAAAGTCGACAGGTGTTAGGTTTTACTTCGTTAATAATCGTATGAACAATATTGGGGTTAAATATAAAAAACTACAATATTTTGTTATTGTTTTTTAATGATATCCTATTTTTATTTTTCTAATAATATATACTATTTTAAAAAGTATAGCAAATTATTATAATCATATCCAAATACCAAATAAATCATATTAATATTATTATTATTATTATTATTATTATTATTATTAAATTGACTTTTAAATACATTAATAAAAAAATTACAATGTTACAAGAGGGAATATTTTATTTAAAAAAAATCTTAATACTTTTTTAAAATCACAATATTAGGACTTAAATAAAATTACATTCATGATTTTGCATATTACTTCACACATTCATATCAAGATATAAAATTATAAATATTCAATTTAATAACAAAAATATGTAAAGAGAAACCCACAATATAATACGTATATTGTTACATCTCACACCAATAAATACCAATAAAATGTTGAAACCCATGTCCAAAACACCTAAAAGTTAAAGCTTTTTCTAAAGCAGAAAACAGGGTAATCAATTGACTAGTAAACCTACGTGTTCCTCCCTCCCTCCCTCCCATGGCGCCCACACCTCTTACCCCACCATTTACGTGACCATGGCATCACAAACGAGGAATTCTCCGCATACCCAACTCCTATTCCTCCATTGAAAACGTGACAGACGACGAGAAGGTAAGGAAGACTTGGTCCGATACTTACTTCCACCACCACCCTTTTCTTCTTTTCGTCTTCTCTACATTTCTCCTTCTTACGTTTTTGTTATTGATTAAACCCTTTTCCCTTTTCCCAAATTTCAATCAATCAAAACCCAATTCGTACTATATCATATCACTACATTCATTGGCGTTGTAAAGTCGTACTTCGCTCCCTACCCCTCGATTCTGGTCCTTTCACAGATCTTGTCTGATTATCTTTCACATACCCTGCTGCTTTAAATGCTTACATTTTCAGGTAACGGTTTTAAGTTTTAACCTCATTTACTGTTGTTTTACTCAATCTTCTAGCTCTGTGGATCGTTTACAACTTTACACGATGTTCCTTCTTCGATTCCTCCAATCCGCGTGTTTGAATTTTGGTTTTGTATATTGAAATTGATCGAGAATTCTTACTGTTTGTTTGAATTCTGTCGGCGATTGAGCTGTGATGGGTTTTTGAAATTCCAAAATTTCCCTGTTTTCGAGATGGTTTGTTTGAATTTTGAATTGTGTATAGCGAATTGATAGCAAGAGGGGCCAGTTTCAGTTGTCGACATAATAACTCGTACCTTTTAGAGGTCCCTCGTTTGTTTGTTTTTTTGTTGAATCTCCTTTTTCTTTAATCAATAACAAAAGTATTGTTTCCATGACTCGCATCAGATTCATCTGTAATTACATTTTTCATAGCGAGATTCTTCAACAAATGCTAAACCCTAGCAGATCAAGAACTCAACCCAGGCCTACCCGATCTCATCCTCTCGGAGGTAATATTAATATCTTTTCACTAATTTACTCCATTAATCATCTCATAAAACCTTCATTTCACTATCTTCCAAGATTTATTAGCTTCTGTTATATGCTCAGAAACAGATCAAGTACACAGATTTGAAGTTGTTTCCTTTTGTGTTTGTAGGCATGGATTATGTGGACCCAAAGAAGAAAAATGGTGTTGTAGGAAAGATCCTTTTAGCTGCAGGACTTACTGCAATATGCATTCTTATGCTCAAACAATCCCCATCTTTCAACACCCCTAGTCCTGTATGTACACTGTATTCCTTTTCTTCAATTATATCTTCTTTTCTTTAAATCCATACAAAATTTGCAAAACTTTCTATTTTGGGATTCCCATAAATTGTCTAAAATTCCCCTTTTAGGAAAGATTCAACAAATTAGTTGATGATGTTCCTTCATAGGTTTTCTATTAAAGGGTATTTTTGATATTTGCTAGGGGTTGTTGGATCTTATTTGTTACACTATTGAATTACACATTAAATATCTGATTCATTTTTTTTTTTTTTGTGTTTTTGATTTGAAGTTTTCTCAACATGAAACTGGTGTCACTCATGTGTTAGTAACTGGAGGTGCTGGTTATATTGGTTCACATGCAGCCTTACGCCTTTTAAAAGATAATCATCGTGTCACTATAGTGGTATTTTTCTATTTTAATCTATTTTAATTTATTTCTTATTGTTTTGATAAATGATGTTTAGAAAATATTCAAGAAAATGACAACACACTAATGAAAAGAGAAAGTAAATAACACAAATCTATAAAAAAAGTTATTACATAATAAGAAAAAACTTTCTTTCTTGATTTATTAAAAAAGAAACATCCGTATATAGTTTATCAGATTAAGTCATTAAAAAAATCGAAACTTTATACTTTTAAATTGTGGTGTGATAGGATAATCTTTCTCGTGGAAACCTAGGAGCTATCAAAGTTCTTCAAGATCTCTTCCCAGAACATGGGAGACTTCAATTCATTTATGCTGATTTGGGAGATCCAAAAGCCGTATCCTTTTTGAAATTTAAACTCAACCAAATTACCAAAATGTCCCTGCATGCTTGCCTTAGTAAGAATAAATGTTAATAATGTTTATTTGTTGTTTCCTTGATCAAAAGAGTTTAGGTGAACAAAATCTTTGCTGAAAATGCATTTGATGCAGTGATGCATTTTGCTGCAGTTGCATATGTTGGAGAGAGTACCCTTGATCCCCTAAAGTAAGTGTTATTTGAATCGAATTATGACATCACATCCCAAAAATTGTTAGTTAGTATTGTGGGCCCCACTCCCAAGTACTTGGTTTTTGGAGGTTATTAGGGAAATTTACAGATAAGGACAAAAGGACAAAACAAGTTGTACTGTATTTGATGTGCATTTGACTAGGAATAATGTCAATGAGGATAAATTTGCAAATTTGTGTCCTACCAAAAAAGGTGTAAAAGACATAATTGCCCTTCTCATCTTCATCATTGAAAATAGCCTTAGAACAAGACAAACTTTCTAGGGCTATTTTCAATGATGATGACAAGAAGGGCATTCACGTCTTTTGCACAGACCTTTTTGGGTGTGACAATTTTTGTCCCATTGACATCGGTCTTGGACTTAGTTCCAGTCAGATGCATGTCAAAGACAGTACAACTTATTCTGTCTTGTCAATGTCATGTCTTATCCCTAGGATGCTAATAATGTTATACCATGGCTTAACTTGCTTTTAGAAGTATTTTATTTAAATTTTTTTAATATTTCAGGTATTATCACAATATTACATCAAATACACTTGGGGTGATGGAGGCCATGTCAGCACACAATGTGAACACACTAATATACTCTAGTACTTGTGCAACATATGGAGAGCCTGAAAAGATGCCCATTACAGAAGAAACTCCCCAGGTATTTTCCCTTGACAAAAACAAAAAAAAAGGGCATTTTAAATTACTAAGTTTTATTTTAAGATTACTAAATATGATATGCAATAATAAAAGGCCCCTTATAAACTTGTGTAAATGATATATTTTGTTGCATATTCCAGCTTCCGATTAATCCTTATGGAAAAGCCAAGAAGATGGCGGAAGATATTATCTTGGATTTCCATAAAAACTCGGATATGGCCGTGATGATTCTAAGGTTGGTATTTTATGTGTTTGAGGGCATTTTGGTCTTTTTCCTATAGGAGAGAACCAAGAGCAAGTCCTTGTTCAATCTTTTGGATGGGGCAAAAAGTTGCAATTTTTGTCTGATTGACATTATTAGCCCTAGTCTTATTCCAATGCATGTCAAACACAGTACAAGGGCATTTTGGTCTTTTTCCTATAAGAGAACCAAGAGCAAGTCCATGTTTAATCTTTTGGATGGGGCAAAAAGCTGCAATTTTTTTGTCCGATTGACATTATTAGCCCTATTCTTAGTCCAATGCATGTCAAAAGCAGTACAAGGGCATTTTGGTCTTTTGCACATAGGAAAGAACCAATAGCAAGTCCTTGTTCAATCTTTTGGACAGGACAAAAAGTTGCAATTTTGTCTCATTGATATTATTAGCCCTAGTCTTGATCCAATGCATGTCAAACGCAATACAAGGGCATTTTGGTCTTTTGCACATAGGAGAGAACCAAGAGCAAGTCCGTGTTTAATCTTTTGGATGGGGCAAAAAGTTGCAATTTTTATCTCATTGACATTATTACCCCTAGTCTTAGTCCAATGCATGTCAAGCACATTACAAGGTGTCACATGTGTCATGTCTTTATTTTCTTGTTTTTTAATTTTTCAAAAAAATAAAAATAAATTTCAGATACTTCAATGTGATTGGTTCTGATCCGGAGGGAAGATTAGGAGAAGCACCAAGGCCAGAACTCCGTGAACATGGAAGAATATCGGGTGCATGTTTTGATGCAGCTCGTGGAATCACCAATGGCCTCAAGGTCATTTTCTTTTTTCCTTTTTTTTAATGAATTTTATGCAAACTTTATACTTATATTCTTGAGTCAATTCCTTTTTTATCATTTTCAATTTTGTCTTATTTAAGGTTTTTGTGACATTTTTGGTCCTGTCCATGTAAAATTAGTATACTTTATGGACCAAAATCGCAAAAATAAGCTGTACTCAGGGACTGAAATAGTCATTTTACTTGGAATAGAGACCAAAAACGTTACAAGAACCTCAAAGGAATCACAAAAATTGCAAGAGAAAACATTTTGGGACCAAATTTGCAAAAATCAACTAGGCTCAGGGACCAAATATGTAATATACTCTATATTCGATTAAATAGCAAAGAAAACTCACGTCTTTGTTATCAATTTATATTAAGTGTTGTATGAATAAATGATGCTTACAAATATCTAAGAAGATGATGGCACACTTGGGAAATGGAAGGAAAAAGTAAACAAGGGCAAATTTGTAAAAAGTTAGGACTTAATCGGGAAAGTCCTTTTTCCATGATTTTCTTCTATTGTTAAGTTGTTCTTTCTTTGTTAAGTAAAAAAGAAACATTTGTCATGTCAGATGAATATGCTACTTACATGTATATGATATTGTTTGGTATGTTTTTGACTTTTTGACTTATGACCTATGTGATACAGGTTCGAGGAACGGACTATAAAACCCCTGATGGAACTTGCATAAGGGATTACATTGATGTGACTGATTTAGTTGATGCTCATGTTAAAGCACTTAATAAAGCAAAACCAGGACATGTTGGAATTTACAATGTTGGTACAGGAAGAGGTACATATCTCAATTTATACTTTCATTATCTTTAAAGTGGTGTGGACTAGAGGAGGGCATTTACGTCTTTTGCACATATGAGAGATTACAAAAAAAATTTCAATCTTTTGTCCCATTGGCATCGGTCTTGGTAAACTTTTTCTTTCATCTTTTGTTCTATTCTTTTCCTCATTAAGTACTACTATCTTGATAACGATGTTAAAAGAGTTTGAGAAAATGAAGAAGTAGAAGGGGAAAATAAGTGAGGTCAAATTTCATAATATGTTGGGAATTTTAGTGGGAAAAAACTCATTTTCCCGATTTTCTCTATTAAGTCGGTCTTTCTGAATTAAGTGAAAAAAAATACCTATATACAGCCTACAAGATTAAGTCATATTCTCATTAAGTCCATAATTCAAAAAAGAAATTTGGCAATTTAGTATTTTTTATCGGAACTTTTTTCTAGAACGTTCTAAAAGAAGAAAGTTGTTCCATATATTTTTGTGAAAAAGGGTATTTTTGTAAATAAACATAAAGCTTGGTATGCATAACGTTTTTGAAAGGAATGTCATTTATCAAAGGAACTAAAACACAACGAAATTGTAAATTCTCACGCGGTCGTTGAACGGAATCTCGAATTCAAATTCCGTCGTCTTCCGCCGGAATCCATGAACCAAACACATCCTACGATCCATCAAACATGAAATCCGTCCGAATTGAATTCCATCCGTACACGGAATGGAATCCCGAATTCCAATTCCGTCATTCCACCGGAATCGATTAAACCAAACACGACCTAATCCTTCTTTTTTACTCTTTTTAACAGGAAGATCAGTCAAAGAATTTGTGGAAGCATGTAAAAAGGCAACGGGTGCATCCATTAAAGTAGACTACCTTCCAAGGCGACCCGGTGACTATGCAGAAGTATTTAGTGACCCGTCAAAGATCCTACGTGAGCTTAATTGGTCAGCACAATATACGGATCTTGAAAAGAGTTTGAGGGTTGCATGGAGATGGCAAAAGTCACATAGGAATGGCTATAATCCTTCAATGGCTTCCATTTAAGATTTTGAATGTTTATTTTATTCTCACATGATATGAGAGGTATAGGCATATTTATATATATGTGTAATTTTTAAACATGAATACATACATGAATGATGAAAAACTTGTTAGCAAGTGAATTATAAGAATAATGATAATAGCTATGAGGAGTAGCCTAATTATTATTTTACATAATGGAGAGGATGCCATGGCTTTATGCTTTTAAGGTTTAACTACTATTTTTATTTCCCATATTTTTATTTAGTTTGAGACTATAAGAGTTTCAATTTCAATGTGTATGGGCGCGTTGTGGATGCTAGATGCTCAACTTTTATGTTATGTATTAAACTAGCATAATGTTGTGTATCTGTTTTACTTTTATGTTATGTATTAAATTAACAGACTTGTTGTGTATCTGATTTACATTTACATAGACTGTTGTGTATCTGATTTACATATTAACCGACGCAAATATTTTGAATAGATTATATGCTTAGCAAAAGATAGCTATGGATGGGTCCTAAATTGGGCCAAAAAGTGTGATTTAGTCAATGGTTTTGTGTTTTGGTTCAGAAAGCTTATTTTAAATCGGACACAATTGTTGTAATAGAGTGATTGTTGCAATAATAAAACCTATGAAATTTGGAAGAAGTGCCTTGTTGTAGATAGATTTTGGGATTGGTTTGAAAAACTTTAAAACATATACAATTCTTCTTAATTTATAGTTATAAAATTCAAAACCAAAAACCCTAAATTTATAGTTGATGGTCCCCACAATGTAGGATGACTAACTTCCTTTCCACCCCATCTTTGTGTCCCACATCGGTAGTGAAAACAAAAGTTGGGTGTTTATCCCTTTATAAATAGAGATGTGCACCCTTTTCTTTTCCCACACGAGCCTCTCATAAACATTTGAAGTTACTCTGCTTCAACTTAGGGAGCATCAAGTTTATGTGCATGATGTGGCTAATATAGTTTCTTTTTAAGCAAATGTCTTTTTTATAGATGTTGAAAGGAAAAAGAAATTATATTAGCCATCATGGTGCATATAAATATGATGTTACTCTAAAGTTATACATTCCAAAAAAGTTCAACCTTAATATAAATAATACCACATTCCCAATTGGTCATATTTTAATTCAATAGTTATTGTAAAATGAATATATCCACTGAAATATAATATGCAATATTATACTTCTCAAGATTATATGCAACAGTATGAAAATATGCCCCGTTGTTTTCCCAATCCAAAGTGTCACCATCCAACACCCTCAACATGAATCAATATATGAAAAGAAAGATGTTAAGAGATGTCCAAGATTACAAACAAAACTGAAAAGAAAGATGTAAAGATATACCCATGAACACAAACAAAACTGAAAATTTACTTTCGATCTATATGATAGACAACATATTTTAAGGTGCAAAAGAAACAAGAATTACAACCAAATGTTACACACAGACAAGAATTGTGTTACGAAGTCAGAAAATTACTTTCGATCTATATGAAAGACAACAAATTTTAAGGGATACGTTGCAAATGAGATCAAAATTATTAGTAAGAAGAGTAAAAAAGCGACAGATGAATCCTCCATCCATGAAGTGAGGCTCTATGTACTTGCCTTCGACTTCCAAATCAAAATTTTGGAAACAAAAATACAACAAGGATTCGATATTTTCATTGGCGAGGTTTACAAATAGTCCCGAAGAAGACCGGTTTCCATAATAAATTGGTAATACAATATCGTTACAATGATCGGATGAATGATTCTATGAATCCATGTTCAAATTATTTAGCGAAGTAATTGTAGAAAATAAGTATCTCTTTTATAACAGTTTGATGTTGTTAACTTGTTTTTCAGAAAATCCGAAGGAAGTCGCAGTTGATGACAATTACTAGATTTAGACTTGGTCCATAAGAAATAGTCATCATGGTCATGACATTATTGAAGGAGTCTTGGTATATATGAATTCAAAAAGTAGACATCATTGACTTATATGATGCTCCTAGTCTTATGCTATTGTCATGGTTTTAGTAAAAAATTACACATTTTATTTAATTAGAGATAAACATAATATAAATTATCACTTCTATCATTTATTATGGGAAAGCTTTGACCAAATATTGAACAAATTTGAATACATAGACGTACACGGAAAAAGACAAAAACTTATATATCAAACTGGTCAACTTGTATTAAAAGATTTTGTAAATAACTAACCGACAAAAAATTGACTAGTTGCAATTGTTACGCTACATGCATTTGTAGGTTGTATGTCTAATAACTTATGAAAAAATAAATTAAATAAATTAAAGTCCCAATCTTTACAGAAAAGTCTCAATCTTTACAGAAAAGTTACACTTTAGTCCTAAGATTTTTTTTAACGAAAAAGTCCTGAAAACCGGCAAAAATTTGCAGTTTGATCCCTTTTGACCGGTTGAAACCGGTACCAAATTAATTTGAGACTATTTCGTAAACCAACCCAAAATATTATGATTTTTCTGTAAACAAAAAATATTAGGACTTTTCTGTAAACAAAAATATTATAACTTTTCTACAAACAAAACCCTTATTATTATTATTATTATTATTATTATTATTATTATTATTATTACTAAAAATATAAATAAGAATACTATTTTTTGAACTTGTTATTACTAATATTGTTACTAATACATATAAATGCATTTAAATGAAAAAAATAATATTAATGACATTGTTTAAAGGTGGAGGTGGAGGAGATGGTGATCCTTTTAGCATTGAAATCGTGAATGTTTGCTTGTATATTTTTACTTTATATATGGTCATTTCTTATTTGTTATTATTGTTTTCAATTTAGAATATTAATACTTAACAATTTAAAAGAAGTTGCATATTTGTAAAATTGTTTATAAATAGTTTAAGGTAGAAGAGTTTCTCATTTTGTATATAAAATTGTTTAAGGTAGAAGAATTACTTTCTAAATCCAACAAATCCACTACAAACATCTACATTGGTAACCTATATCAAAATTCAAAAGTATTAATTACAATATCTTGTTTAATAAAAAGTAATAGAAATAATTCAAAAGTATTAATCAAAATTCAAAAGTATTAATCCAAAAACATGTGCTATTACTTTTTATTAAACAAGATATTGTAATTAATACTTTTGAATTTTGATATGGGTTACATATGTAGATGTTTGTAGTGAATTTGTTGGATTTGGAAAGTAATTCTTCTACCTTAAACAATTTTATATACAAAGTGAGAAACCCTTCTACCTTAAACTATTTATAAACAATTTTACAAATATGCAACTTCTTTTAAATTGTTAAGTATTAATATTCTGAATTGAAAACAATAATAACAAATGTGAAATGACCATATACAAAGTAAAAATATACACGCAGACATTCACGATTTCAATGCTAAAAGCATCACCATCTCCTCCACCTCCATCTTTAAACAATGTCATTAATATTATTTTTTTCATTTATATGTATTAGTAACAATATTAATAATAACAAGTTCAAAAAATAGTATTATTATTTATATTTTTAATAATAATAATAATAATAATAATAATAATAATAAGGGTTTTGTTTGTAGAAAAGTCATAATATTTTTGTTTACAGAAAAGTCCTGATATTTTTTGTTTACAGAAAAGTCATAATATTTTGCGTTAGTTTACGAAATAGACCCAAAATTAATTTGGTACCAGTTTCAACCGGTCAAAAAGGGTCAAACTATAAATTTTTGCCGGTTTTCAGGACTTTTTCGTTAAAAAAAAAATCTTGAGACTAAAGTGTAACTTTTCCGTAAATATTGGGACTTTTTTGAAAATTTCCCATAAATTTATTATAAACCAGGGTATTTATATTCTTATTTTATTTGCTAACTAGAAGGATTCTTACCCTTCGCGGAGGATATAAAACTTGAATCTCGAAGACAGATCCTAAACCCGAACTATCAAAGAGGACCCGATAAAACAGCCAGTGCAAAATTGTAACCAATAAATATCACAACACCCTTGTATAATTGGGGATATTTTAAAATTCCATTGCTATTTTTGTTCAGTGATATAATTAGGAATTTTTTAAAAGTCCATTGCTCTTTTAAAAGATTAAACTAATCTTGTGTAATTGCTTTCAAATTACCATGATGGGAAAATAAACGTTAAAAACCTTTAATACTATTGGAATATTGTCTAAGGTCATTAATTATTGGTAATATTTCTGATAATAATAGTGTTTTTTTTGAGTTGTCACCATAACCCAATTGAGGAATTAAAAGACAGGATAAATAATTTTTATTAATTTGTCATTGTTTTGATAAATTAATTAGAAACTATTATGGAATTAACTTGTAAATAATTAAAAGATAATTAGTTAATTAATTAAAGGTTAATTAAAATGTTTAATTAATTGGAACATTTTAGAACCCTAAAATATTAAGATGGACGAATTAGATCAGGATTACCAAAGCTTTCGGAGTTGTTTTAGAATTAAGCAACTAGAGCCTATAAATAGGTAAATAAGGATCAAACCCTAGGTGCTCTTTACTCAAAGTTTCATTATGCCTTCCCTCTATTCTTTCCGCAGATGAAAATTAAACCTTTAGAGTTTAGAGTTTTCATTTTCCTCATCCTCTCTTCTAGGATTTGCCAATTTTGCTCTTTTGGTGTTTTGGGTATGATACTATTAGAGGGATTCCTACTACGGGTCCTATCATTCAAGCAAATATGGCTATTACAAGAACCTAATCAAGGAATCAACAAGAAGATTAAGATCAAAGGGGTTAGTCAATTTATAGTATTCAAAGCAGGTTAATATAATAAAATAAACCTAGATCTATTAGAGTGCATGTACAGATAAGGTTTTGTAACATCCGATTTTCTAGGTGTTAATTTTATAATCGTATTTTAGAGATGTTTAGTTGGCCACAACATGGTGGTAAGGATTACCATATCTTGGCATCCATCTTCAGTCCACGTATCATTTAAGATGCCATGACGTGGTCATGCAATTGCCATGATATGACAATGTAACATCATGTTTCTTGTCATTTCTTATTTCAGGGTCATGGATCGGAAGTCTAGTGTGTAAAGGCTTTGGACCATAAGGAGGTAGTGTTCAGACCTTTTGGAAGGAGGCAATGATGGTTTCATGATCTTAACCTTTAAATTGTGTTATGGGCCGAAAGGTAGAAAGGGGAAAGTCATAGATCGGGTTCTTGCATAAAATATGGATTTTTATTCGAGACGTTTTTAGTCCAAGATACCTAGATAATATCGTGGGGATCTTCAATACCTTTCCATGGATATAAAGAAC